TCTCAGACTGTAAAATGCCAGGAATTTAAAAAAACACTAAAGATCTTGCCTTTTATTACTTTTTGTTATAAGTTTAAAATGTATCATTGTTGCTGAATAAGTGTACTTTATTAAAAATAAAACGAAAGTGCAATATAATAAGTTGCAAAGTCTCTGTTCCCATATATTGGTAAGTTTGACACATTAGGAAGATAACTACTTTAATGTGTATAGAAAAGTCCCAATGAGTTTTGAAAAATGGAATTAGTAGTTGGATTGCAAAATTGTCAAGATAAATACAGTAAAAGTAACTAGACATTTTACCAGCTAAACTTTTATATATCAGTGAAGAAATGTTACTATTAGAAAAAAGAACAAAATAGCAATTTAAATTAATCATTTTTGTGTTCTCTCATTCGCAGATGTTGCAGTGCATATGGACTCATAAAACTGCTTATATACATGACATATACGTACATGAAAGCTAAAGGTGGGGGGAGGAAGGAGATGAACAGAGGGGAAGAGGCAGGAGAGAGGACGGGGAAGCAGCTGGTGAATAAACTGAAAATACGTGACACACTTGAAAGGTCTCTGTGGAATCTGTCACTGTGTACGAGGAATAGACCCCAATTAGAACAAAGAAATATTGTGAAAGGCCAAACAAAGCAATAAATTAATTAATCATTCATCACACACGCTATTCTGGAACTATTTTCTGAATTACAATATGTAGTCAATGAAGGAAAAGTCATCTATGAAATAATCAATTAATAGTGCCACAAAATAAAACTACAGACATTAAATTAGACAACAAAGAAACGGCTTTTCTATACTTTACCATAAGTATTTTGTCATTTGACTCCCATGTGGTAATTAATTCAAATTTATGCTCCAAAAACCGAAGCTCAAACTCTGAGTGAATTCTTGAGTTGGGATGTGACCTGCATCACAGTGTGGCTGTCCTGCACTTCTTATGGGGTGCATTTGCCCAAGTTTTAGTTGACCACACCTGTTCCTCATGCTTAGACTATTTTAACTGTCACTCAGTTAAAATAATAATTTAAAATGTCTTACATTTTATTAGAGGTGTAAATGTACTGTGTTTTCAGTGCTGCTAGTTAAACCTACCGGTTCCGGCTGAGAAGTGGCCTCTTCAAGGTCTTGCAGGTACATGAAATTCTGAGCCTATGTTAGTTATCTCCAGTTAAATACTCAGGCATTGTTTGAAGGGTTTTTCTAAAAATATAAACTGGAAACGTATTAGACTGTTGGCCCATCCTGACCATAGGGATTTGTCCAAATGAACATGCTGGCTTTCCCTTGGGCTCAGAGCACAGACTCCTGTTTTCATTATTTACGTGGATCACAAATTCATGAAGCCATGTGAATTTCTCTAGAAAATCCTTCTCTGGGAAGTCCTAATTGAGTTGATTGAATCACTAAATCAACCTTTCAAAAATGATGGGAAGAAATTTAATTTTGCTAGCTTTATTTACTATATGTGAATGTTTATAATAAATGTAATAGCTGAAGGTCTACCCATGTAAATTAATATTCAAAGGAAATTAAAATATGCACTACAATTAATAGAGATATAAGAAAATTAATAGACAACCAACCATTAATACACAGAAAAACTTCCTTTTACAATGATATGAGTTTTATGTAATAACCCTTTGATTAATGGTAATGAATAAACTTGTAAATTTTAAGAGTCAATGAAAAATTCACAATTTTATGCATAATTTCATGAAACCACCACATTAGAATATCACTG